AAATTACATAAGGTTACTCCAACACGCATTGTACCAATCAACTAACTACAATGAACATGCAACCTGGAGATACTGAGGAACTAGAGAAACCGAACTGCTACGGTTATTTCCTTATACAGTCCTGGCAAATGTCTCATGACTGCATGGAATTTTCATGTTCATCATCTATGCACCCAAAGTAACAACACATGAGAAGAGAGAGAGGAAAAAATCTCTTGAAGAAGAAAAGACTAACCTCTAAGTAATCTATTCTCCCATTTTCAAAAGTATTTAAACCACTTCCTAACATACTTTATAATTACTTAATCTGACAGGAAATCAATTGGACATATATAACTCTCCAAACTTGCTTGAGAGTCTCTTGTCTACCTCTCTATATATACTACTAGAGAATTTACCATGCTAACAAATTCTGATTCTTATCTAACTTACTTTTACAAATATATACCATAATATGTTTGACTAATTGTCACTATGTAGAACCATGCCATTGGTCAGCCACTAACCACTCAAAGTCTTGCAACTCGCATGCATCATTACTCCATCAACTTTCTCACCTTCTCCATCGCCTCTAAAACCGTCTAGAATATAATCATTTTGATACAACATACATTTAGGAAGAAAATGCTCAAAGAAAATGCTTTGATAAACAACATCTTACTTGGACGTTTGTTGTCATGATCAAGTTCCAGTCCTTTACGTTTATCTTTTGCTTTAGATGTCGCTTTTGCAAGATCTTCAGCTTTATACCACCAGTTGTTGGCAACAACAATCTAATTTGTCTACCCTTTGTTGTCAAATCTGCTTATTTGGATCTTATATGAACCATCAATTTCTACTATCATATAATTAGCTTTCCACTTCAATAAGATATTTTTTTTGTATTCATACTCTTTACTTCGGACTTTGCTTCCCATTTTTCAACTAAAGTGACAGCTCGCAAGATTGCAGCCCAAACGGCAAGCCTCCACATACACAAAGTCATACTAGACAGATTGCAGGCCGGTTATGAAACACCCATCCTCGCGTAGTAGGATCTCAGTCACTCTTAGCAGCCAAGCGTGTTTCATAGAGCAAAGATGTCAACGGCCGACCAATGATGATAGAGACTAAAAAAACTAATGGTAACGGTTGGGAACAACGATGAAGTAATATACTATCATATTTTTTAGAATTTTTTTTTTCATCATAGTATACGCAAATTGGATATTGTTGGAAAGTTATCGATTCAAATAATGCATCTTGACAATTTTCAAGAGCTGAATAATGATTTGAAAGTAAAAAATTGATTTAGTTTTTACCATTGTTTTTCCTTTATGACGTGTAAAGTTGGTATAACGACAGGTCGGTGGCAGTTTTGGGTAAAACATAATAAATTTTGATGGTCAAAAAGATTATTTGCTTTAGGAAAAGAAGATAAATGTGAAGTTACGATCCATGAACCTTACTATATACTTGGGAAAAAAACCTCGTAACATAAATGAGATTGAATAGTGTTGTTAAGCATTATATAATTTGCATAGTGTTGATATGGATGGACACTTCCATATTCAAGCAGGTTGAGGAGTATTATAAGTGTCAAAGTTGTTTAATGTGCTTCACAATGGTTTAAAGAACCATTGTCATGAACATTTATTTGTGATTGCTACGATTCAATATGAAATTTGACACTAGAATCCAATATCATATTCATGACTTTAAAAATCTATTGATGAAATTCCAGAATATGAAGAAGGTGTCGTGTAATTGGATATTTACTTAAAATAGCGTTGTGCTAGGGTTTCAAGTCGCGAAGTGTATTCTCGACTCCAAGAACGTCAGTTCTTGGAGTCGAGCCCAGCGCGTTGAAAGTAGTGCAAGTGGTGGAACTGCCCATTAGCGTCGACCTGGAATCTCTCCGGAGTGTATTGGGCTTGACTTTGTATGTGACGGTTGTTGCTAGTGGGGTAATCATACCGACGAGAATTCCTGTGGGGAAGATTCCGTGTTTTCATTCGTGATACATTTTAGTGTGTACGCTCTCGCGTCTTATATGTGTGTATGTGTGCGTACGAGTATGTGAGTAACATGTCAGCGATGTAGAATGTATGATGATATATATTCGCATGAAAGAGGAGCCTCTTCACACGAAGATTACAATGTATCTTCTCAATTTATTGTCGTTTAGATATCACACGCTATCAAGGATTTTTCTTCATCGTCTGAACACGATATTCATTTATAACGAGGTTGTGTGTGATCTTCTAATCAACACGATAGAGCATGAATGGAATTTCCTTCCATTTCATTCACAATTCACGGCATTCAGGATTGAAGAGGTAGAGATCAAGATTTTCTCTAAAGTTCAATTTATGGCTCAACCATTTGACAAGAAGAATGTTTTTTTTGTTTAGGATGTGGTAAAAAAATCTACATCATGAAGTTTTGTCTTATAACAAGTACAATTTCCCATTTAGTGGCGAACGGCGCGGAGCATCTTGATATCAAGACGACCTATTTGAACACAAATGACATATGATGCTAGAGGTATGTACTATGCATCACACCAAAAGTTGTTGGTGATGTATGAATTATGGACAATGCTTGATCTTATCACATTTGTTATATTAGAGAGTTTTTTTGTATTTTTTTTATATTAAACAATTTAATTTTTATGGAAAACGACCAACCCTGTAAAATTGAGAGTGTTGAATCTATAAAGATTCACATGTTTGATGATGTCAATATTACGTTGATACATGTTAGATTTATACATAATATGAGAACAAACTTGATATCTTTTGTAATGTTAGACTCATATGATTTAGAGTGAACTTCTAGGCATAACTTGTTAGATGTTAAATCATGTGATAAGAAAATTCTTCTTCGGAGATACAAGCACAATAATCTGTGCTTATTAAGGACGTCACTATTTGTGTAGAAGTTCACTATACCAGATGTATGACATTTGAGATTATGTCATATGAGTGATCAGTATAAATCTCTTCTTGATAGAAAAAAATTATTACCGAGTTTGAGTAAAATTGACCAGACATTTTCTGAACACTACATCATATTAAATCAACATATGCAAGCTTTTGGCATTGGAACTCATAATTCCTTGGAGCTACTGGGGTATGAACATAGTGACGTGTGGGAAACCTCTCCTAATGCCTCATTGTCTAGAAAGTTATAATATGTTTTTTTTATAGATGATTACTCAAGGTATGTATGAGTATATTTTTTTACCCATAGGTGTTTTCGACATTCAAAAGTTGGCGCATACAAGTAAATAATCAAATTGGACAGAAGGTGAAAAATTTGCGATGAGATTATGGTGGCAAGTATATTTGAGAAAAATTTCAAAACTTTTGAATAGAGTAGTGAATTACACAACTTTTCACGGTGGTTTATACTCCACAACAAGATGTTATTTCTAAAAGATTCATTCTAACACGGTTGAAAAAAAGTGTAGAAAATGCTAAGCGAATTAGGTATACATGGAGAATTTTGGATTGAAGTTGTCAACACCGTATTTTATTTCTTAAATATTTTCATTCCTACTACAATCAAATTTGTCAATGCTTTAGACATTGAATGTATCAAATAAATTTTTTTTATACATTTTTCAAAAGACTATTTGTTATCAAATTTTCAATCATATTAACAAATATGAATATTTTTCATTTCAACCAAACTTATTTAATTTTTTGAATTTAAAAGTGTAATAAAAATTAATTTAAAATTTTTTTTTGTAAATATATAATTTTTAAATTATTCATAATTTGTTGTATATTTATAATTGTGATCATAATTTTATACAGAATTAAATGCAACACAATACAAGATGCAATTGAAAAATAATTCAAAATGAAATTTAATCAAAATCAATTTGTTTGAACTCATAAATAATAACACACTTCAATTCATAGATTTATATAATATCAAAATTTATGTTAAAATATAAAAAAAACATTTATAATTTAATGTTGAAGAAGTATTTAAAAATTAAATTTAGATTAAAGATATTTTTTTCAATCAAAGAATACATTTGAAAAATATTTATTTTCAGGTATTTACTTTATACGCAGAGCAACCAATGCTGCGGGAATTATAATGATATTGCTTCATTTTGAACCGTGATTTAAGTATAATGGAAAAGCCAAAATTTTTGATGTGTTTGGGACGCCAGTGATATGGAATGACCAAATGTTTGGGCGGGAAAGATAGTTTAATTTAGTTTGAGACACTAGGGGCCTTTAGGCCTTTGTTGTATCAATAAAGCAACTCTGACATAGTCCACGTTTAGGACACGTCAGATCTTTTCACAGCATACGCAGCCGTCCGATTTCGCTGGAATCCCTAACCTTGACTGTACTCATGCCGTCCAAAGCTAGGAGTGCAAAGGTTGGCGACGGAGGCCGGTCGGATTCATCGCTAACTGCGGAGGAAGCTCAACCGAGAGCAGCAACGCGGTGGATCTTCTCCTTCCCTCCCACGTTACGCTTGTTCAAAACTCGGGGACCGGAGGTCCGTGACCGCTGCGACCGACACCTGCCCACAATGCAACAATCCACCGTCGCAAGAAGACGGGAGTCCATTCAAGACAGTGAAGGCGGTGCAAACGAATTCCCGCCGGGGGCCGGTAGTCGCTGCGGGCCCGCGTTCTGCGTCGTCTTCACCACAAGAAAACGAACAACATCTCCGCGAAAGGCACCAATACCTCGACGGACAATCACCGGCACAACAACCACAGCGGCGTCGGACGACGGTCTGCGTTACCGTCCCGACGGGTGCGGTGCGCCTCTAACCGCCATCGGCCCAAGTCCGGCGCGCGTGCGGGAAGACGGCAGACGGCCGCCCCCTGCCGTTGACGCCCGTTGCCGCGGTGGCATGTGCCGCTGCGGAGCCAGACCGCTGCCCCCCCCCCCCCCCCCCCCCCCCCGCGCCGGAGAGCGTATTGCAGCTGCTGCTGGCTGCTTTTGGGAGATATCGACATCTGCCACTCGTCGTCTGGTGGTGGCGGGTGGGTACCTGATTATGACGCAGAATACTATACCCTAAGTCTCCCGCGCCATTTCCCCCCAGAGAGAGATATTTCATTTCCACGCTCGTTCCGAATGATCTCTGTCACTTCTTGCCGATCGCGCTCTCGGCGTACCTGCCTGCCCTCATAACTCATCCGTCTTGCCCGTTTCCACGCCCCTCGCCCTCGCCCCTCGAACGTAACCAGCATCTGCTGCGTGGAGGTTTCAGATATATAAACAGTGGGTCGATCTATTGGGGTCTGTTGGAGACTGTTGCATGTGCTTTCTTTGCACCGAGGCCGTTTTAAACGTTTGCCTGCGTACTTCCTGCTCTCGGCAGGCGAAGGGAGTCTCATTGTGTTTTCGTCGAGCGGTTTCTACGATCAAGTGAGGAGAGAAGATATGAGGCGCCGGAGTCCGAGTTACAGCCCTCCTCCGAGGAGAGGTCATGGAGGGCGTGGGCGAAGCCCCAGCCCGAGCAGAGGTCGATACGGACGCCGTGGCGACCCACCGACAAGCCTCTTGGTCAGGAACATTCCTCGTGACTGCCGGTAAGCCTCTGATTGTGCCTAGTGTAGCTCGGAATGTATCGTCGTGTGTGTTTTGTGGAAGTTTTGCTAGCACAAATTTTGAATCTTGCTGGGTGTCATTGAGTTGGCGATAGCCGAGAAGACGGTTGGTTCCGTCCGTCGAATGTGCTGTTTTTCCATTAGATAGCCCGATGAGAGCATGAACGAAGTTGTGTCATTTGGAAGTATATACACCAGAACTTATGGTAGGTAGTAGAGGTGAATGCCCTTCATCCTATTGTCAGTGGTCTCTGAGTGTTGGTCTTTCGGCCGATAGTTTTACGAGCTGTGAAGTCCGCCCATCAATATAGTTCGTCGCTGGAAAGAATTGTCGTGCCATATATCTTCGCGAGAACGCGAAGCTGATTGTGTTCTTCAGTTATTTTAATCGTTTTAGGGGGGTATCCTTAGTCTATGGAGATGGACAAGTGCCCGAAATGTTTTCTTCCCGAATTATCAATATCTGGAGGAATAATTCTCTGCGAAAGAAAGCCAGCATTGCTGAATCAATGTGCTCTGTGGATGCCCGATTTTCTCGTTCGAGCATGACGTTTGCTCGAAGATGTTCTTTTGTTGTGCGTTGGGACCTACTGTGGATATGAGGCTTTTTCCATGTCCCTGGAGGTTACCTGAATGCCGTCGTACACAACCACAGTCTTCAGCTCTATCTATTCCGTCATCAGCTTACAGGACACTTGTACGTATCCTATGAGCAAGCTCGTATCTCGAGGTCTGGAACAGTTTTGTTTCAAGAACTTCACAACGGACGTGTATTCCTGGTCAAACAATATTTTTGTCGGTGATCTCTGCCCGTGTTACGGTCTGTGCACGTAACTCAGGTCTTATCACTGAGTAGCTTCTTCTGTAGAGGTGGTTTCGAATGCCGGAGTCGAGGTTGCTTATCTGCTCTAGCGTGCGCCGTTGTAGAGTAGTCTAATTGGCCTACAGCGGACAAGTATGTCGCGTCGCAAACACCATGTGGAGTAAAAGTCACAGTTCCCAAGGCTCCAATTTTGTTGGACGAAAACGCTCTGGAAGGCTGAAATTTCCTCTCGAAATGGAAGTTCCAATGACGGTTCCCATGTGTGTCCAACCTGTTTTAGCTTTACGTCAAGCAAAGCGATGGTTGTAATCCAGATGTCAGGGATATTGTCCTTGCCAAGAACCATACCTGAGAGCTCTTTACCTACTCTACGTGGAGATGATCTCACTGCTGTGCGTGTACATGTCCTCAGTTGAAGATTATACTTCTTTTTCGATCTTTATGCATAGATGCTTTTCTATGTCGAGGACTGAGAAACATCTACCAGGAGTAGCTGCTATTTTCCTACAGGAATATGTGCCCGGCAGCATATAGGTCATCACGTACTTCAAGAATTGTTCACAGATACGACTGTGTGTAGGAACCTTTCTAGTCGGCGCGTCTCTATGAGTGACTTCTCTGCTGTCCGATCCGAGTTTCTAGTTCCAAGCTGTAATTAGGAATCTCTGTGTTTTTTGTCTTTTCCTAGCAGGTCAGAGGATCTGCGCTTGCCGTTCGAGCGGTATGGAGTCGTGAAGGACGTCTACTTACCGAAGGACTACTACACTGGGTGAGAATAACTAACGAACTAAGATCTTTCTGTGTACATGGAACTTATGTTGTTACCAAAGGGAAGCGTTTTTTGGTTCACCTCTCCGTGGAGTGTGTTCTGGGCAGTCAAGGTTCTTCGGTCTAAATACGGTAGAAATTCGCGGCAGTAATGTGAGCTTTAAACCCACGCGGTCGTTCTCTGGATCTCCTTTCGACTCCAGCTCTTAGTCCGAAGCTCTTGTGCATCGCCTAGGCCTTCCTGCTACAGCCCAGTTGGATAATCGGTTTTGCTCACGCGAAATCCTGTCTTGCACTATTTCTGTCGCTTTTGTTATATACTTTCACTTCTTTGTCGGGTGGTGGTTTGTGGTTGGTCCTGCATTAGTACAACCTCGACACGAGGTTTAGTCTGTGCGCCAGTCCTTGCAGAGTTGTGTCATTCGAGAGTAGCTTCGTCTTCAACATCTGTGACGCATAACTGTGCTAGTACTTGAGAACAGAATTGGTTAGTGAAGCCAGGTCACCCTACTTCACTCCACGGTACAGTTGACTCTCTACTCTGTCCTTTTCGGATCTCTGACTCTCTGGGCTTTTTCCCCTCATCTCTGTCATACGCTTCCGGGGTCTCCGGCATAGAATAGGAACTTTTGTCCATGAACTGTGAGCGTTGTCGTTGGAAGTCTCCCAGCGGTAAGTTTCGTCGTAGCTGGGGTAGACACTCTAGCGAACAATCTTCTGAATTTTTATTCAAAAGTGTCCACCTTGCGGACTGCTGTAACGAATCACGCAGAACCCTGGACTGTTCCCCTTGACGCAAGATTTTCTCCACACCTGACACTAGGGGCACAAACCCAAAATAATCTTATAGCTTGAGATCCCGTCGCCTACTGAGCCGCTGAAATATAGGTAAGCCGTAGTCATTTGTGGACATTAGTGGATCCTCAGTTGTGTATATGCTTGGAACATTGTCGGCCGCAGAGCATACGCTGCATAATGGCATGATACTGCATAATTTTGTTAGTGGGGGCCATTGCTTTCAAAAGTTTAATACCCACAGCCTCGTGAGATTAACTTGTCAGTACCCTAGTGTTACGACTGCCCTAACAGTTTGGCTTTTTAAGGCTGTAGAGCTGGAGGTCAAGGGAGCCAGTCCCAGAAGGCCCACCGAGGTAGATCTCTCTGGGTACAAGGGAAGGTGAGAGATGAAGATAGTTCAATTTGGCCCAAGTGAAGAGAAGTGGTGGAGTCTTGAAGAGAAGATGTCCAGAAGTTCATGCATTCGCCCAAGGGTTCATGCTTTCAATTCAAGTGTTCAGTTCAAGTGTTCAATTCAAGTGAAGAAATGTGAAGAGAGGAAGAATATTGAAGAAAATTGAAGTCTCAACTCAATCAGTTCATACTGGCGATCACTAGTGGCTTTGTACAGCAAGGTCAGCAGCAAGAGCTTTGTCTGGTGCACCGTGTTGTGGATTGTTTTAGCCGTTACATGTACAGGGAGTATTGGTCATAGTCACGATCCTTTCTGGTATGTAACGTACTCACAGTGTTGTTTCGTTCATCTCAGTACTGTAGTTGGAAGGGTCATATGCCTAACCAGGTGATTCTCTTGTCTACTTCCTGGAACTTGAGGGAATGGTCAATCGTACCTTACAGCATAGTGAGGTGATAGATGATGTTGTTTAAGAGTTATGCTTGGTCTGCATGTGCGCAACAGGGAGCCTAGGGGCTTTGGGTTCGTCCAGTACATGGACCCAGGTGATGCAGCTGAGGCGCAGTACCATATGGATCACCAAGTCATTAATGGCCGAGAGATTACTGTCGTATTTGCGGAAGAGAACCGCAAGAAACCGCAAGAGATGAGGTCGAAGGAGCGTATCAGGTATGGAGTTAAAGTTCGAATCCATGTGAATTTTGCTGTCAGTTGCGTGCATGAAGCGTCGTTCAATACTTTTGGCCGATTATGAATGAATGACGTTATGTTCTCGTGGCGTGTAGTTGTCTTTTTCTCTGACATCACATTTATGGGAATGTGCAACAGGGGTCGTCCTGGACACAGTGGATCATCTCGCCGCAGATCGCCGTATTATGGTACGCCAGCTAGACTTGTGTTAATTTGTGTCGGTCATCAGCAGTATGTCCCATATATTGGTTGAAAACCGCACCCTTGCAGGGCGGTCTCTGCTGTCAGACGGTCTTCTGTTTTCTTGTTGGAGGGTCCTTGGTTGGGTCTCTCTAGCCGTTTCATGGTTCGAAATGCTTTTCCTTCGCTAACGAATTTTTTTGCCCAATGTAGTTCGATCGCGATCTCGCTCACCTCGATATTCAGGATCCCCGCGGAAAAGCCGCCACTCAAGGTATGACTATTGTTTTCACTTCGGTTTGCAGAATGTCCAAGAGTTCTTTCGAAGTGGTCTTTCTGCTCCGCGTCTAGCTCAGCCATGGGAATGCATACCTGTGTGACGTTGTCTGTCACGTGAAATGTTGTGTCCAATATTTTGTATTTCCCAAAATCTCGTATATAGTAATGGATGTTGCAATTCTCGTTACTCTTTCTGTGCCACATACCGGATTATTCACGACGGACTCCAAGAAGAGGAGATTGGTGAAGGACCTAGAGTCTCCCGTAGCCAATAAGGTGTAGCAACTCCTTTAAATTGTAGTTAATCTGGACAGCTAATTATTGAACATGTATGTAGGTCATATACACCAACTGACCGCGGTCATCGTCGGTCATATTCTCCGTCCCCTTCTGGCAGCCGCAGGCGAGGTAGGAGTGGTAAAAATCACTCTCGCTCTCCGTCTCCTGCACCGCGGAAGGAGCGAGTCCGAAGCCCAACACCCAACGGCAAGTCTGTGTCGCCCGCCGTTCGATCACCTGCTCCACGGTCCCCTCCTCGTTCTCACCCTCGTTCTCCTCCGCCGTCGCGCTCGCATCCACGGTCTCCTCCCTCTCGATCCAAGGAGCCTACGAGCAGGGCGTCGGCAGGGAGGGAGTATGGAACTTCAAGGTAAGAGTTGTAATACACTTCCTGATGCTGCGTTGTTATCATTAGCTTCAGTTCAAGCAGTTTTGAATTGTTCGCACGTTCGAGTATACTTGGCTGACACTTTCGATGGAATATCTATGCAGGTCGCCAAGTGTTTCACCTCCCCCTAGGCATTCCCGGCGGTCACCCAGAGGGTCACCTTGAGTGAAGGTTATATTAGCTCTTCGATGTTCAGAGTTGGAAGCATTGTAGTGTCGCCTTCAATTGTTCAGTTTTGTACCTCATGTGAAAGATAGATTTCGAGCTAGCAGCAGATAATGCTGTGTCTACAAACATGCAGCTTTGTGCCTCGTGAGAGGATCCATTGGGGGCAGCACAGCATAGTGTCTACAAACATGCAGTTTTGTACCACATGTAGGAGGTTCATGCAAAGTTCCGCGAGAGAGCTCATGGAGGGTGGTTGCTAGTGGTGTGCTCGATCATTGTTGCAACTTGATGAGTGGAGTCCATATGCTTCTGGAGTAAATTTGACGATTAGTGCAGCTTTGACCATGAGTAATCATGAATGTAGCTACTGTAGGTAGAGTGCCTGGGTTATTCAATTTTCTTTCCCAAATAGAGGTGAACAAATCCTCGTCTCAGTGTACATTTTCCCTTATTTTCTCGAAATCTGAAGTCTGAACATGCAGACGATTTCTTTGATTTCGTGCGTCCGTCTTTCAAGCTTGCCGTTGTGTTTGACATGTAATCTGTTGTAATCTTGGATCCAGTAGTCCTCTCGCCTGCCATCAGCGCAGTTTTGCCTTCGTATTACCGTTCTCATTCTGGGGTGTACCGACTATCGAAATGTTGGAATGGAAACATGGAATGTCCCTCAGCCTAGGAAATGAAACCCTTATTTCGCAATCTCTTTTATTTTGTGTAGATGTGAGGAGTTCCCACTGTTTGAATTGAGCTGTATGTCCAATGCACGGACTGTAGGCGGTGCAACAACCATTGAATTCATGCAAACAAGTTATGAACTTGACATATTTCGTGTACAATCTTTGACTTGAATGTTTCGTAGCGTTGGGTCCATATACTTGGCATCTTGTTTCAAGATGCTTGTCTGCATCCCCTTCATGTTGTATCTTTTAAAAATGAAAATTAATCACACATTTGAGTAGGAGCTTGGGGAGTGTTTCTCTGCATCTGATTGGATGTGTTTCCCCTCGCCGCTCGTTTCATATTAACATTTGGAGTTTTGTGTATACGAACTGGTGTGGACTATGTAATAATGGACAAATTACTTAGTCCACACCTGTATCTTGAAGTTGATTTTCTGTGATGATGTATACCATTAACTTTTGATTATTTTCCAATTACTTATTAAGTTCAGTATTCTTCACGAGGTCATAAGCGTTCCGAGTACTTAACTAGAGCAGATTTGATTCAATTATAATTTTTTTTTCATTAAATTTCTATGAATATTTATCAATATTTTATTTTTTAACTTATTTGTTGTAATGTAAATTTCTATTGGTTTTTGCATCTATTGGAGTTGATTGATATTTTGACAAGATGAACATATCTTAAACATAAATAAGAAATATTTATTTGATATTCTAACAAATATTCTAGTATAAATAGTTTTAATTTATGTTTCTGCGAAAATTGAATTTATTGAGTTGTCATGTCACTAGAATTTAACAAAATTGGATATGCTTTTGCCCCCAAGATTTTCAGATCTAACAAAATGTATTTAACCTCACGGACATTTATGGTTATACTCGCGCAACAAAATCATTATGTACAAACACATTGAAGCAACAAAATCATTATGTACAAACACATTGAAGCGAAGAAATTCTTTTTGTATCTCGAAACAATGCAATGCCACCTTTCGTGAGTTCTTTCCACAAACCATCAATTTTTTGCTCTAGCAAATCTACACTCATGAATTGTTGTGGACAAATTCATTGTTGAAACATACCACCACAATGAAGATTTCTACGCACATGAATTTGTCACATTGATGTTTTGGAGATGAAGATTGACCATTATATGATTAATGATGTGATACAAGGAGAAGCTATAGAACAAATGGAGCAAATTCTTGAACAACAAGAATTAAAGAAACAAGTTATTGTTAGACTCAAAAATCTGCACTTGTTCTTTCGTCAAATCGTCAAATTGATTGATTTACATTGTCTTGTGCAGATTTTTGAGTCTAACAATAACTTGTTTCTTGTTGGTTGAAACAAAAGTAGAGATTACTCTAAATGTTGATATAGACACTTTAGCGTACACTAGTCATAGCTGCAACGTCAACGATCCGGCGCGCTTGGTAGTTAGAGAGTAGGTGTGTTAGTTGACAACGATACGTTAACGATCCATATGCCTATTAGGTAAGGATCGAATGTGTTAGTTAGTGTATTAGTTGGGAGCGTCACGTCACCAATCCGTATGCTTGTTAATATTATCCGTCACGTCATCCATTCACTAGGAGTGGGATGGATGATGAGGATAATATCTTGTTGGTGAGAGCTATAAAAGGGAGAGGAGAATCATTATTGGTATACTTCATCTTTAGAGTTTTTGTTTTCATCTTCAAGTGAATTTCTCTCTAAACCCTAGTGTCTTAATGGTATCATATCAACATTGCTCTTTCCTTGAATGTGGATCATTACTCATGAAATAGCAAGTGAGTGATGATTGAGAACATAGCAAAGGTCATTGATCTGTATGTAGAGAGAGATGAAAGAATAAATTGTGGTTTTTGCAGATATGAAAGGATTTGATAGAATCCTATATCGCACTGGCGGATTCTTAACCTATTCGATATTCACCTTTGTTGCATGGAAAAAACCACTTTTGGATGTACCTTGTGGCTTGTTGGGATGCATATATTATGACTAAAGTGATGAAGTCAAGAGTGCCACTTATTCTTCCAATAGTGAGTTATGTAGATACTTGGAATTATACAATATACATTTTATATTGAATGTTTTATGGATTTGAATCGCGAACCACTTGTACTGGTTTGATTCAACATTTATGTAGAGATTAGAAGAGTATACAGACAAAAGAAATTGTGAAGAGATTTTTTAATGCAAAATTTAAGGGAAGAGTACTATAGAGTTGTGATAGAATCATCTATACTTTTTGTGGCTCATTTTTTGAGAGGTCAGATAGTGAATATATTCATTTTTGTATTGAAGTGAGTGTGAAAAAGCATGGAATCATCAATTGATACGGGTGAGATTCTCAACGCAATCATGACGGATTTGAAAGAATTGAGATTAGCAATATTATATAGTCTTTCAAGCAGCAAGCCATGGAAGATAAAATCTTCGCATTGAAGAGTGAGAAGTGAAGAGAGAAAGAGTTGGAGAGATGGAAGTTGAAACTCAAGTTCAAGCTTTCCAAGTTCAGCCAAAACCAAATCCTATTGATGTAATAGAGGCAAATATAAATAATACGTCTTCAAGAGATTGAAAATCAAGCAAATCTTTTGCTTCAAACTGGAAAATCTTTTAAGGTGTAAGTTTACAAGGGGAGTAGAGTGATGGGAGTATTAGAGGGTGTAATGACACACAATTATCAAAATGGAGCATAATGGTAAATATCTGATCCCACGAGGACATAAACAATCCCAGAGAACCAAGTAGTGTCATGAATTAATATTCTATTAAGAAGATTTACTTCTTAGGCACGTGTTACTCCCAAAAGCGTCTGCAATTGCTAAGTCCAAAATTATCACACTGCAAGGTGAAATCACACCCAAATTCTAAAATTCATCTAATAAGTCTCTACAAATGCCGCACACGACTCTGCAATTGATATTTAAGAATGATATTTTCCAAGATTACACACTCAACCGGCTGCACCGAGCTTCCAATGTACAGATTTGCTTAAATCTTGAGCTACATTATGCACCATTCAGAACATCCGAATTGGACACTCTACTTCATATGCGGTATCTTTGACAAACTGAAGCAACTCGCGCACTGTGACAAAATGCACAATTCACTAACGTGCGAAGGATTTCAAGTTGAATACTAAGAAATTAACTAGTGGAAAAGCCCCCTTGAAGGCGTAGCCGTGGACCTCTTTATACTAACGAACACGTAGAGAAATCATCCGCTTAGCTGCGAGCCCCCAACAGGTGCGACATCAGCCGACCCGGCAGTTATCACGCCTGCTAAGCTCCTATCTACTCCTATCCTACTCAAAACAGCTGACAGTTCTTATTCTAGATTCTATTTTGTCTTCTCTAAACCGGAAATGAACGAATTGAGCTTCCTACTTAACTGCCGTTATCCTGTGACTCCGCTAGCTGTCAACTCCTTAACTTGGCGCTCCAGCTCACTCAATTTTGTCCACTTCGGAGTCTCGATTTCCCACTTCACGTAATCACGAAGACATCGGTGTATCTTCGCGCACAATGCAGCATCCGTTTGCCCCTCTAACTGCCGGGTAAAGATAAAGGTAAAAGTAGAGCCATATGAGTTACTTGGTAATTACTAGATAACCCTTGTAACTGCGAAAAAAAAATGTGGACACTCTCAAAATTATTCAGAATGTAATTCTGCACATTCTACTGAAACGATCCAGGTGACCTGTACTATACTAAACAAGTAAATTACCTTTACCTTCTACCCTTTAGGGTTGAGGTAAAGGAGTAATTACCGAGTAACCCTTATCTTTTCACCTTTAGGGTAGAGGTAATAGGGTAATTACTCGGTAATCCTGATGTAAAAGTAACTTTTAAAACTTTAAGAATATGTATCAGATAACCTGGTAATTACCTTGAGGTAGACGTAAAGGGTAAAGGTAGACAATAGTGACACGAGTAAGGTAAAAGTAGAGCTCATGGCTTACCCGGTTACCTTTTACCTTACCTTGCCGAGGCCTAGCTGCCACCTTCGCCCGCGTCCTACTACGCACTAACTCTACGTAGGATCCCGCTTATGCTGGATCCACCACTACTCGCTTGCTCAACATGTCAACTACACTGAGTCTGGCTAACTTGGGTTTTTTGGCCACTACGGTACTTCTTGGTGTCAACCATATGCTAACCGATGTTAGATTTATACCTAACATGAGAAAGAACTTGATCTCTCTTCGAGTGTTAGATTCACACAGCTTAGAGTAGAGCTCTAGGTTTGGCGTGTTAGATGTTAAATCGAGTGAGGAGAGTTATACTTCAAGGGCATAAGAATAATAATTTGTACTTGTTAGAGTACATCACTATTTGTGTAAAAGTTAACTTTATCAGATCTTGCGTAAAGATGTGTCATGTATGGTATTTCATGCTAGATCATATGAGTGATAGTTACATGTCTCTTCTTAATGAAAAATAGGTGTTACCGAGATTAGATAAAGTTGACTTGGCATTTTGTGAACATTGCCTCATGTGCAAATAGCATAGTTGAGTTTTTAGTGTTGAAATTCATAGTTCCACGGAGATACAGGAGTATGTACATAATGACATGTGGGGTCATCTCTTGTTGCCTCACTCTTAGTAAAGCTCTATTGTGTATCTTTTATAGATTATTACTCCAGGTAATTGTGGGTATTTTTTTTATCCACAGGTCTGAGGTGTTTCTCAACTTCAAAACTTGGCGCATACAAGTTGACACTCAGATTAGCCATAAGGTGAAATATTTGCAATTAGGTAATGGCGGCAAATATATTTCT